CAGTTGATAATCTCTCTCTGCAAGGCAGACCCTGATAGATTCGAGACACTCCTTATCTGTTAGCAAAAGGAGAGAATCAAAGTTTAAGCTCATGGAAATTACTTTATTTTCATAAAATTTAGCCCATCTAGCATAATAAACGTCTGATAGTAAGAACCATAAAAGACTAGATCTATTAGGCCTAAAATGTATCTTAAATCAAAACCTATAGGTCATCATCCAGGCTTCAGTTTCAAGGGCATTCAATTCCAGTTCCGCATAGAGAGTCATATGATGTACACATGGGGGTACAGATAATAATCTCTTGGGGAAAAATGTCTGCAAACATTCAATCTCTTTATTAAAGGCTAGAATCCAGGTAAATATGTTATAAAGTAATTGAGGTTTTAATTTGGTTTTATAAATTTTTAAGGCCGCTAGGATATCCTGGTTGCCTTTTTTATAATAAAAAGATTGTATAGCCACCAAGGATCTTTTCCTTGTTTGTATTACTTTATCTCTCTGTTTTCTCCACTACCCATTAAAATGAAAAAGGACACCAAGATAAACATACTTTTTGACCTACTCAATTATTTGATTTCCAGCCTTCCATATTCTCGGTACAAATCTCTTAGAAAATACCAGTATTTTGGTTTTCTCAAAGTTTATCAGTAGATAAAATTTTTCGCAATATTCCGAGAATCCTTTGAGGGCTCTTGCAAGATCTCTATATACATATCACTGCTATGTTAGTCCCACCTTGAATAGATCCATGGACTGATCATTTTTGTTGTTTGTTGTTAACTGCCCTCAAGTCAATCTCGACTCATGGCGACCCTATGGATGAGATCTCCAAGACTCTCTTTTCTTCACTGCTCTGTTTAATTCCTACAACCCCTTAATACCCGTGACCTCCTTAATAGAGTCTATCCATCTAGCATATGGCCTTCCTCTCTTCCTACTTCCCTCCACCTTCCCCAGCATTATTTTTCCAAAGAGTCCTCTCTTTTCATGATGTGTCCAAAGTACGACAGTCACTGTGGGCTAAATCCAATGCTAGTCACACCTTGAGCAGAAATAAAATGAGTGGAACTCATTAGTTATAACTAGATTATGTCCTATTGATTCAAATGGATTTACTTTAGGAAAAATTAAATTTGTGTCTACTGTAGACTGATGGATGTGAAATCAAGTCCACCTAGGGATGAAGGAGGAGTTTGGCTTAAGTTCAAGGTAAATAGGTCTGACTTCTACTACACAGACTAGGACTGCATCCAAATTGTAAAAATAATTTGAATAGCGGTGAAGCCAACCATAGTATGCATTTTCCATGTCAGTAGGACAGTGAATCCAGTCCAGGTTGAATGTTAAAGAAATGCACCAAAATGTTGAATCCTATCACCCAAACAGATTAAGCTATTTGGAATCTGACATCCAAAACACACTGCAGAAATAATCCAGTTTGAGATTGCTTTAACTGCCCTGGCTCAATGCAGGGAATTCTGAGAACTGTAGTTTGGTGAAACATTTAGCCTTCTTTGTCATACAGCTCTGGTGCCACAATAAACTGCAGTTCCCAGGATTCCCTTGTACTTAGCCAGGGCAGTTAAAGTGGTCTCAAACCGGACCGTAGTTAATGGTTTCTAACATAGCTAACTCTTTACAACTCATACAAAAAGTCAAAATGGATTCATCTCACTGACATAACATAGCCATCAATCACTGGTGAGTGAAACAAGCATAGACTGGATACAAGCAATGATTCCTCTTCCCTCTAGTGGAATAGTTCTTTGATGCAAATAACATTCCTTCAAATAATTCTGAAGAACTGAGGAGCTTTACATTTTTTTTGCCGTAGATTCTAAGCTTAGTTGTTGTTATGTGCCTTCAAATTCATTCCAACTTGCTTTAACTGCCCTGGCTCAATGCAGGGAATTCTGAGAACTGTAGTTTGGTGAAACATTTAGCCTTCTCTGTCATACAGCTCTGGTGCCACAATAAACTGCAGTTCCCAGGATTCCCTTGCACTTAGTCAGGGCAGTTAAAGTGGTCTCAAACCGGACTACTGTAGGATTTTATTGTCCATATTTATTCAGAGGAGGATTGCCACTGCCTTCCTCTGAGGCTGAGAAAGTGTGACTTGCTCAAGATCACCCAAGGTTTTGGGGTTGACAGGGGATTTGAACCCTGTCCTGGAATTCTAGTCCAGCACGCAAACCACTGTACCATACTGGCTCTCACTGATCTTAAATTTACCCTCAGATTTGTTTTCTGTAGACCTAGTGAGACTTTATTCCAATTCATTGTATGTTTTGTATCCCATTAATGATTATTTCCAGAGCTGTAACTTTTTCTGTTGTCATATGCTGCTGATTATTTGCTAATTCTTCATGGTAGCTTATAGTTATTTGGAATCCTAGTTATAGGTTTCTAAGTATCCAGTGCCCAGGTAGTGACAAAACACTGGGTCCATCCTATTCTGCATTTACCATCCATCAGGCAATTTTATTCTAAAAGCTGTAGATCTGTTGTCAGGCAGCTGCAACTCCCATACTGAAGCCAAATCCCAATCAATTGAAGTTCTGGCTGTTTAGCAAAAGATCAGCATCCCTATGGAATTGATTTTGCACAAACCGTGCCTCCACATATGACATCCCACCCATTGCTGCCTTGATTACTTTGTATCTCTTGGCTTAGACATAGCAATATGGGGCCAATTGCAGGCAACGTTCCATGATTTAATGAAATTGTTAATCACAAGTTTTACTGCCTTCTATAATTTCATTGCAAAATGAAATCTTCCTGCTAAGGAAAGAAATGTTCCCATGGAAACTATTTATGGTGCCAGTGAGCCCAAATGAAAGGTGTTTTTGAAATATCTTTTTTAAAAAATTAATGGTCCTTTAAAAAAATGTTTTTACAAAAAGTCCAATTTGAGAGTTCTGAATCTTCTCCATAAACACTATCTATTATTTGTTATCTCAAAATGGTTTTCCATTAAGCATCAAAATAATTTATCCCTTTTACTACTGATTAACCACCATTTTGAATTTTCTGATGCAAGGAAGGTGGACAAGGGTTAGGAAGCATGGTGCCACAAGCATCCTCCCTCCTTATTTATTTGCTTATTTGCTAGTCTGCTAAGAAAAAAAAGTTCTGCAGGTGGACTACTAGATTTTTATCACACTGCATTCTGTGAGATCCAGGACAGATTAAATGACACATAATTAAACTATGGAATTCACCACCACAATTTGTGGTGAGGGAAACAAGTTGGCCTACTCCAGAATTAAGTGATCCTCTAGTCTAACATCTTGTAGTATTATTTTGACAATCCATCTAGACCAGGAGCATTCCCAGTCTTCATTTTTTTTCAGGGCCTCCATCACTTAGACCATTGCTATTGATCTATTTAATCTTTGTCTTTGTTCAGCAGTAATAATAATAATAATAATAATAATAATAATAATAATAATAATAATAAATTTATAGTTGCAGAATGCTTATTCAAATATGTCTCTACATTTCTCTCTGAAATCTGGATTGATTTGTAGAGATATTGATCATTTTTTTTAAAAAAAAATCTCCAAAAGATTTTAGATAAATTATAGGAATATCTCAGTCAACAAAGACTGTGATAAAGAAACTCTTTTAAAAAAAAGTCATCCCAGCTTCCTTTTTTCCTCCTTGTCCTCTGATTAGTTGAAAGTTTTTAATAGCATTAGTAATGGGAGGATAGTGAATGAGGGCTGGAGAAACAGGTTTTTAATGTCAGTGTGTGTGCCTTCAGTGTCTCTGTAGAAAACAATGCAATAGTTTAGCAGTAGTATATCTGTAGTAAACAATGCAATAATAGAAGCTTGAGTTGGGTAATAATGGGATTTAAATCTGGGTAATGATGAGATGTTCAAGAAGCATAGATTTATAAGTCTGGCCACTAAAGTGGAAATCATAAGAAGCAAAGGCTAATGAAAGAAGGAAAAATCATCACTGGATGCATTTTGGAAGAAGCTTTAGAGTGATCTCTTGAGGATTGAAAATGTTTTTATTATTTATGCAAGGCTTATCTGACCTGGTTGTTTCATTGCACATGTGCATATTGTTAATTCTGGATGCAAATTTGCTGAAACATATTGTATTGGTTTTCATTTTTGCAGTGCAGGAGTTATTATTATGCATCCCATGTTATTTCTGTGTCTAGTATTAAGTTCCCTGCTAAAGAAGAAAGGCTCAGGAAGACAACTGCTTCTTTAACTCAGGTACACCTGTAATAGAAGATAAAGCTATGAAAGGTTACAAGTCATGATGCCTATATAATCCTATGTGGTTGTATGTCTGGAATCTGTGAAGCTTTTATCTGTAACGTCTCAGCCTACCAAGTTCCTAAGAACAAATGTTTAAACCATTAAATACAGGTTCACCGTATGCCACTTAAATACAGGTTCATTGCATGTACCCAAGGCCTCCCTTCCAACCCACTTTAAAGTCCCAGAGCCACTTCATACAGGCAATTCTCTCCCCCCACCCCAGGCAGATGCATAACAATTACAGAAATGTTGAGACCTCTGGTGTATCCCCAATAATCTCAATGCTGATACCATTGTTTTGGGTATAGGGGCAGGGAAGGTAGCCAGACCTTTACCCATGCTTTCTGAACAAACTGACGCATGGAATACTTGTGTGATGCAGCTTCAGGGCTTTCAAGTTTGTTGGGGGGTGGTAGATGGATCAACATAGTGTAAGATCTGCAAGTAAATCTTTATGCTATGCTGAGGGGATATAAAGCAAAAAAAAAAGCAAAGCAGCTTATTTATATACCACTTCATATCACGCTATGGGATGTCTAAGCGGTTTACAACTGTGAGCTGATTGCCCCCCAACAAGCTGGGTACTCATTTTAGCGACCTTGGAAGGATGCAGGCCCGAGTCGAGCTTCAGCCCTGGCTGGTATTGAACTCGCAACCTTGTGGTCTATGAGTGAGTGGCTGCAGTACAGGCATTTAACCACTGCGCCACCAGGGCTGATATAGAATTGACTCCTTAGTCTTGATCCTCAGAAAAAGTCTGTAATGTGGGAGACCCTGACCAGAAATAATGCTATCATCAGCATAGCTTCTTCCCTTACTGGATCATGAGATCTCACCACCATGGAAAAAAGGTAGTGCCAAGGTGGATACAGTCAAGGGTACCATTGGGAATGAAATGCCACAGATTTTTCTACCCTTGCAGAAGTTAGCAGCTATCAAATCAGTTGAGGCAGCTCCTCCAGGAGGTTGACCTAGTTGTCCCACCACAGGTCTTCTCACATAAAGTTTCATTTGTTTTCATCTCCATGCTGAGAAAGTATCTCACCTATAGTTATCTTAGCAGGAAAGGACTTCAGGCAATAAAGGAGAGTGGGAACTGTGTGGCCCTCCAGATCTTGTTAAATAGCAATCCCTACCATTCCTTACCCTGGATATACTGGCTAGGGTTGGTGTCAGTTGTAAGTCAACAACATCTGAAAGGTCATGAATTTCCATCTTTGCAATAATGCTTGCTTGGAGCTGTCCAATGTCCTGCATTTGTCTGCCTCCTGCACAAGAGGGTTTTTGCCTTGACTTTGCTTGTTTTGATTTTACATTAGCTATCATAGTTAAGTGATCTGACTTTGCCTGTTTGATTTTAAATTAGCTATCATAGCTGGATTTTAGCTAATTGATAAGAACTTGACTAATGTGATGTTATACCAATCCAAACTTCCAAAATGAGAGTTGTGAAAAGAATCTGTGCTGTTAGAAGTATTCTGCTTTTGTGAAGTCGTAGGCTTTCATGGCCGGCATCCATTGTTTTTTTGTGGG